CAATGTTTATGATATATGAATGTAATGGTTATGTATGCAGGCTGAGTAGCCGTCTTGCTGGGGAAAATGAATCCTTGATAGTTGGAGATAATGAATTCCTTGACTGCTGCCGGGGAAAGTAAATCTTTGACCGAAGCTGGGGATTCTGAAAAAATCTTCGATTGTTGAAGATGAGAAATCCTTGCTAACTGCTCAGGGATTGAAGATCTTCGATTGTTGAGGGATCTCAGGACCACTGCTGGGGATTGAAAATCCTTGGTGACTTGTGGGAGTTTTAACAAAACTTCACTAACTTCTGCGGGGAATGAGAATTCTGACGATCTCTACCGGGGAATTAAAACCTGGGAGACTTCCGCTGGAGAAGTGAGTCTGAGAATCTTTAATCTGCTGGGAAATATCTCTGTGGGGAGAATGTTCACCGTCCTGGTTCCGTTGGGGAATAGGATTTTCAGGGTTTTCGGGCTCCACTGGGGATCTTGAAACTTGACTCTGAGGGGAATTTTGAAATTCATCTCAGCTGGGGAATCAAGTTCTAGAAAGCATTTGCTCTGCTGAGGATTCTGAAGTTTAACTCTGTTAGGGAAATATATTCTGAATTTTAACTCTGTTGAGGAACTTGAAGTTTAATTCTGCTGGGGATTTCTTCTGAAATGGCATAAAGATATCTTCCTAAACTTCAACCTCTCAGTAATCATCTTTTCTCAATTTCGTTTTATTTGTAAGCAATGATTATGTTCAAATGCATATGCCTATTTAACAAAACATTGGACGTTTTTTCAAATAAAACATAAGTGTAAAAAAGAAAAGGAAGGCAAGCAAATTTCTGTACTTGGAAGTGTATTTGTATTAACTTTTATGAGTATCTTTGTACAAAGGAGACAGACATCCTAGTAAGAGAATGTTGTCGTAAAAATTGAAAAAATTTATACAGAAGAAAGATGGCTATGTGTAACAATTCCATGGGATTCCCATTCTGCTATAGCCTTCACAACTCTGAATATCTTGTCCATTCATTGCTTCGTCCGTCGATGACTAGGTTGATCAGAAGCTCGGAGCTTGTTGATGAAGAGATTTAAAGTGATCCGACGAAACACAGTCATACGCTTTAATTCCCTAACTTTTTCCTGGATCGCCCTTTCAGGTTTTCAATCCACCGGGAAACCCTTTTTTGCCCAAGTCGCCCTTTCGGGTTTTCAACTTGCCGGGTGTACATATTTTTTTGTTTTATCCCTAATTTTTGCCTGAATTGCCCTTTCGGGTTTTCGGCTCACCGGGATGCCCATTTTTGCCCAAGTCGCCCTTTTGGGTTTTCGACTTGTCGGGTTATTTTATGCGTAGTATCTTTTGACTATGTTTGCGTTTGCAGGGTGTGGTAAATCGTCGCCGTCCATGGTGGTCAAAATCATTGCCCCACCAGAAAAGATACTCTTGATCACAAATGGTCCTTCGTAAGTAGGAGTCCACTTGCCCCTGGGATCACTTTGTGGTAAGATGATCCACTTGATTACAAGATCTCCGGCTCGATATATCTGACGCCTGACTTTCTTGTTGAAAGCCTTGATCATGCGTTTTTGATACGCCTGACCATGACAAACAGCAGTAAGTCGCTTCTCGTCGATCAAATTGAGTTGATCAAGCCGGGTCTGAATCCAATCGTCTTCACTCAAACCAGCGTCTTTCATGATCCTTAAGGAAGGAATATGAACTTCCATGGGTAGGACAGCCTTCATGCCGTACACCAAAGAAAATGGGGTTGCCCCTGTTGAAGTACGTGTCGTGGTACGATATCCATGCAGAGCAAACGGTAACATCTTGTGCTAGTCCTTGTAGGTGATTGTCATCTTTTGAATGATCTTCTTGATATTTTTGTTCGCAGCTTCAACAGCACCGTTCATCTTCGGCCGATAGGGAGATGAATTGTGATGATACATCTTGAACTGCTCGCATAGAGCGGTGATCATAGTATTGTTCAGATTTGTACCATTGTCTGTGATGATCCTGTCGGAGACACCATACCGGCATATGAGGTTCTGCTTGATGAAACGGGCAACCACACTCTTTGTAACAGAGGCAAAGGAAGCTTCTTCGACCCACTTGGTAAAATAATCAATGGCGACCAAGATGAAGCGATGTCCATTAGATGCCGTGGGCTTGATCTCTCCAATCATGTCGATGCCCCACATTGCGAATGGCCAAGGAGCTGTCAGAACGTTGAGTGGAACAGGGGGAATATGTACTTTTTCGGTGTAGACTTGGCATTTGTGGCACGTACGGGAATGTTGGTGGCAATCAGCTTCCATGGTAGACCAATAGTAGCCTGCCCTTAGAATTTTCTTAGCCATCGTATGTCCGCTCAAGTGGGTGCCAAATGTGCCACTGTGTATCTCAGTCATGATCAACTCTGCTTCAGCTTTGTCTACACATCAAAGTAAAACACAATCATGGCTGCATTTATAAAGGATTCCATTGCTTAGGAAGAACTTGGCAGCAAATCTCCTTAAGAACTTTTTGTCATTCACTGAAGCTCCTTCGGGATATTCTCTAGTCTGGAGATACCTTTTGATTTCATGAAACCAGGGTTGTTCCACTACTTCTTCGGTATTAATCTCATGACAGTGCGCAGGTTCATCCATTCGCTCGATCGTAATTTGGGGAACCTCGTTATCCCAGTTGAGTTTAAACATGGAAGACATTGTAGCCAGAGCATCTGCTAGCTGATTCTCTTCTCGCGGGAAATGCTCGAAATTAATATGCTCGAAATGAGGCAGCAATGTCAAGACATGTTCTTTGTATGGGATAAGATTAGGATGTTTGGTGTCCCACTCTCCTTTGACTTGACTGATAACCAAAGTCGAGTCCCCAAATACGACCAAAGATTTGATCCCCAGGTCTATAGCAGCCTTGAGACCAAAGATGCAAGCTTCATATTCAGCCATGTTGTTGGTACAGCTTGTTGCACCCCAAATTTTGCCCTCCTATTTTCTTCTATCTGGCTTAGACTCTCTGCATTCATCTATATTTGGGCATTTATTTTTGGGCATAGTGAAGAGAATTTTAGATCATGATGTTGGGGTTGCCGAAGCTTTTGATCTTAGTCTTTCAGAAGATCAGTTTATATCACTTTTTCCGACCTCTTTATCATATTTGAGGTTAATTTTGAAGAGATTTGGGGATCTGAGTCACAGAACTTTTAAAAAGATCCCGTACTTCTATTCAAAAATCCTTTTAAAAGGTTTTAGTCAGTGGAAGAGCTTTTTGTCCAAAGACATATTTGAGGAAGAGTATGGAGAATCTGTCCCATCATCTGTTCAAGAGCTTCTCTGTCTTACTGATTGTAGTCTCCTGGGAAAATCAATCAATATGTTGCAGTATCACTTTGCTCTTAACGGAGATTCTCTGAAACTGAAGAACCGTTTGAAGCTATTCAAACCCATTTGGCCCACACTTGCCTTGCATGATGAGCTGATGGACTGTCATAGTCAATGTATTGATAGTTATTCTCTTTGCCAGTCTTTCAACATAATCAATCACGTTGTCGCAAAGATATCACTTTGTAAAATGTTACTGTTTCATGATGAAGAAGGTGGGGATTTGAAAGAGGTTGCTCTGGAAATGCAAAGTAATTTGAAAGCATTCAGGATACATTTCATAAATGTTTTGGTGAACATTTGGCAGCTTATTATTCAGAAATTTTCTTTATCCTCTGATCAGTCTGGAACAGGGAAGAGCACAAGCACATTCACCTTCCCCACTCCTCCTAGCCTTGAACCAGAGCCCTCAAAATCTTCAAACAAACCAAAAATCCGAGTAATTTATCGAATGGAATCCAATAATCCTTACGAAAGCAATCGACTCTTGATAGTTTTGTTGGAATTGCGGAAAAGGAAAGTGAAACGAATCCAGTTCGAGAAAATGATGCTGAAGAATCTATCTGTGACCATCATATTGACAATGAAGCAGCCAAAACTTGGATATATCCAGTTAATGTTCCTCTCCGTGACTATCAATTCCATATTTCCCAAACTGCACTCTTTCAAAACGCTCTGGTCGCCTTCCCAACAGGACTTGGCAAAACTCTCATTGCTGTTGTTGTCATGTATAACTACTTTAGATGGTTTCCCGAGGGAAAAATAGTATTTGCTGCTCCTTCTCGACCACTTGTCATGCAGCAGATAGAAGCATGCCATAACATTGTTGGGATACCGCAAGAATGGACAGTTGATATGACTGGTCAGTTAAGTCCTCCCAAAAGAGCTCGTTTGTGGAAAACGAAGCGAGTTTTCTTTGTCACTCCACAAGTTTTGGAAAAAGACATTCATTCTGGTAAGTGTTTGGTGAAGTACTTGGTATGTTTGGTGATTGATGAAGCTCACAGAGCAATGGGAAATTACTCGTATTGTGAAGCAGTTCGCGAGTTAATGGTTGTACCAGTGCAACTAAGGATATTGGCATTAACCGCAACACCAGGATCCAAGCAGCAGACTGTCCAGGATGTTATTGATAATTTACATATCTCCAAGCTTGAACATCGCAATGAAACTGACCACGATGTTATGCCGTATGTTCACGACAGGAAGATAGAGTTGATACAGGTTGCAATGGGCCAAGATGCTGTAGAAATAAACAATAAGTTTTTGGAAGTGATACGCCCTATCGCAACCAAGCTTACTAATATTGGGGCAATTAATAGAGATTATCGTACTTTGAGCCTTTGTGTATTACTTGAAATGAGGGAAAAGTTTCGTCAAGGGAAGATGCAAGATCCTTCACATAACAACTACATAGATGTTGAAGGGTATTTTGGAGTTCTCATTACTCTTTATTACATCCACAAACTTCTTTCAAGTCATGGAATAAGACCAGCTTATGAGATGCTTGAGAGAAAATTGAAGCAAGGGTTTTTCGCAAAATATATGAGTAAAAATGAAGATATTCTGAAAGCAAGGCAACCAATGCACTAAAGCTTGTCTCATGGAGCGTCAAGTCCCAAGTTGTCTAAAATGCTAGAAGTATTACTGGAGCATTTCAAAACCAATGATCCACAAAACTCCAGGGTGATTATTTTCTCCAATTTCAGAGAAAGTGTCAGGGACATAATGGTTGCAATTGGAGGTATCGGGGATCAAATTAGAGCTACCGAGTTTATTGGTCAAAGTTCAGGAAAAACAACGAAAGGTCAGTCCCAGAAAGTTCAACAGGCCGTGCTTAAGAAATTTCGGTCTGGTGCCTACAATGTCATTGTTGCTACATCAATTGGTGAAGAAGGTCTTGATATCATGGAAGTTGATCTTGTCATATCTTTTGATGCTAATATTTCACCACTTAGAATGATTCAGCGAATGAGGAGAACCGGAAGAAAACATGATGGCCGAGTTGTAGTTTTGGCTTTTGAAGGGGCAGAGTTGAAAGGCTACTTGAAAAAAAAGGCAAAGAGCAAGACTATAACTAAACACATGCGAAATGGGGGCATAAATAGCTTTGTCTTTCATCCCAGTCCAAGGATGATTCCCCACATCTTTAAACCTGAAGTTCAATATGTTGAACTGTCTATTGAGAAATTTATTCCTCGTCAGAATAATGTGAGAGAAAACCATCTTCAAACTTCTGCATCCAAAGACGAACTCACTCTTGCTGAAACTTATTTACTCGGAAAATATTTTCACTCTACTGGAGAAAATAGATGTAGATTGTCTCTTATCGCCTTCCCTCACTCTCAGACATTTCCTTCTAGAGTTCATAAAGTGAAGCATTCCTGTGGAACATGGATGTTTATAGACATGATGCAACGTTTGCAAGGACTGGCAGCATGTGCAGGAAATAACGAAAATTCTACTCTTCAGGAAGGAAGGTGTTTAGAAAATAGTAAGCCACTTGTCAGTATTGAACTTGATGAAGCTAAAAATGACAATAGGGATAAAATGGGAAGAAATATAGATTCTGAAAATTGTCTGAAGGTGGATTCCTGTCATATGAAAATTGAAGACTTTGTTGATCTAACTCTACAAGATAATACTTTCTGTGACACGGGTGAGTGTCAAGAGGAAACAGCTGATGGTGATGAGACAATTCCTGAGACTCCAGATGCTAAGAGGAATTTGTCAAATGAAGGAGCTATTGCCACTGAAATAGCAAATTTTGTTGAGAAACAGACTTCTTCACTGGCTGTAGATGCATGCGATAACGGCATGAGAGATGAAGAGCTTAGCCCTCGTTTAACTAATTTGATTATAAGTGGTGTTGTTCCCGAGTCTCCCATTGAGGAAAGAGGGAAGTCAAGAAACAAGTTTGTCATATGAGGCTGTATTTCACCAGTTCATCTCCAGGAACAACAAGACGCCGCCTCTTTGAGTTGTAGGGAAACTAAAAACGTCATCATTGATAATGACAACGGTAAAAATGTATGTACCTCCCCTGTTAATGAAACCCAAACCCCTTTGCTTGAGCTGAAGAATTGTGTGATTAGAAGAGAACGAGTCTTTGTTTCTCAAATTGAGGAAAGGCATATGCATATTGTTGATCCAAGCATCAATGAAGAATCACATCCAAGCTGTGGTGAAATGTCTAAAGCATATATAGAGCCTGTAGAGTTTGCTGGATCAGGTTTGCTTGCAATTGCATTTGTTAGCATGTCTTTTGCAGATCATGGGATACAAAGATTAGCTTATGACACACTTGTTATATTTAAGAATGTATTAGAGAAATGCCAAAAGATGGAAGGAATGGTTACAGATTTGACGCTGGCAAAGGAGAATCAAACAAGCTTTGAGGAATATTTAAGCAATAATCCTAATGTAGACCCTGGAATTGACTTGACAGTTACCATTCTGACCACTGGTTTTTGGCCTAGTTACAAATATTTTAACCTCAATCTCCCTGCAGAGATGGTTAAGTGTGTAGAAGTTTTCAAGGAATTTTATCAAACAAAAACTAAGCACAGAAAGCTAACTTGGATTTATTCCCTGGGTACTTATAATGCAAGTGGGAAATTTGAACCAAAAACTATGGAGCTAGTTGTGACGACGTACCAGGCTTTGGCACTACTTCTTTTCAATTCCACAGATAAGTGGAGTTATTCTGAGATAATGACTCAGTTGAAGTTGACCGATGATGATGTGCCACAAAGGCAACACTCTGCGGTTCGTGATGAGAGAAATTCGGACACTCCCGTACTAGAGGATTATAGAAGTAGATTTTCTTCTCCATCAAGAATGTTCTCTCTTGCAAATGCATCACCATTTCAAAGTAGAGATATGGTAATAAACAGAGAATTCAGTTACCAAAACGAAATGAATCCAAGCAGCAGTATTAGTGGCAGGAATGAATCCATGATTCATGGGATGATTCAGCAGGAACCCATGGTGCAGTCTGATGATTTTGGTTTAAATGGACGATTAGGCTCTAATTTTTCACCTCAAATGAAGATGGTAAGACTTGCTGACATAACCGGTTCTTCAAAAGCCAGTAATGCTCCTCAAATGTTAGACATGGATACCATACACAATTTGTCCAGTCAAACTGCTCCTACAAATGTTAATCCGACAGCTCTCAAGGCCCAATTCTTCAACAACTCAAGTCAATCAGATTCCAACAATTTATCAGGTCCAGAATCTGGGTTTGAGTCACGAAGATCGTCTTAGGGGCTAGCCGGAAATTCGTCTTGGCAAGGATCAGAAACTCCTACTAAGCCACAGAGTTCTTTTTCACATGCTAGTGACTTGAATAGGATGATTGAGGCAACAAATTCATGGAGCTCCAATATCGAAACTGGTCCTCAGCTACAGCCAAATCTTGCATTGCAGCTCTGATGATATATTATTTTTAAGATTGGAATCTACTCGTTCATTTTTCTAACTTGATAAGGTCATGTCATGAGGGCAAAAGTTAAAAAGTTTAAAGGATACTAGTCATATAATAGTAAAGAGGTTCATATCCAGGAAAACAGAATTCCCAACTAGCATAACCACCTTGTAACCAACTCTCAATCTCACCCTTCAATCCCTAACAAACTCTATCTAAATCAATGGTTCAGATTGATTCCCACATAACCGTTTCCTCCCTCAACTACCTATATAACCCAAACTCCCTCCAAGTTTGAGGGGACGAGGCCACTCTCTCTTTTCCAGTTTCAAAACTTCATCATTGTATCAGCTTCAAAACAACTTCTTCCCTCTCCATCATTCACTCTCAATTTTTCTGAACTCTCATAATCTTCAATTTCCCCTCTCTAAACTCCGTCTTCACCTCCACTCTCCATTGTTCGACCTTCAGTTAGTTCTCAAAGCTTCACTTCTCTCTGATTCATCATACAAAGTTCATTTTTCTCAACTTGCGATAATCTTCATAATTGTCATCATCGCCAACGCACGCAACTTCCAGACCAAAGAAAAAGTGAAGACAGTGAGGAGAGAATCAAGACGAAGCAGACAAGATCAAGAAGGACAATAACTGTATTACTTCACCTCTAGATTTCTGAAGCGCTACCAACGTGCCTTCGATAGGTAATCCTCAATCTTCTTCTTTTTACGACTTTTTTTTGCTTGGTCTGTACCATAACCGCGAAGGATAAAATGCGGCGAACGATAAATCCACCATGTAATCTTGATCGGAAGAAATGTAGAGCTTAAGTTTCGTTGTTAGATTCGGAATAGAGGAAGAGAAATTGACGAAAGCAAGCAAAGGAATCGAATTCAGAGGGGGACGTTAGGTGGTGTTAGCAAGAAAGTTGAATCGGAACAGGGGAGAAGGGGTGGAGTCATGGCGGCATTGCCATTGTTGTTGTCGACATGTAGAAGAAAGGCTTTCTGCGTAAAGGAGCTGGAAGGGGTCGTTTACAGTAAACGATTTCGTTTTGGAATTCTTTTATTTCTTTTTCTCCTTTTATTATTATTCATTTATTTAATTGTTATTTCAAATGGTTAAATCAAAAAAAGAAAAGAAAAGAGGAGAATTTATTATATTCTTTTTATTATTTTGCCTTTGGGAATTAATTCATGATTATTCGGTTACTCGAAACTGGTAATTCACTTTGCTCGTCAAGATTCGAGTCTTATGCAGGTTTTTATATGGATATGTTCGAGATGCCGATTGTGATTCATTTTCACATTAAAAGATGCTTCAGTAATGGGGTTTCTGACTCTTTTCTTTGTTGGTGCTAGCAGCTCGCAAGAACATCAAGTATCTTTGCTTTTTCTACTTTGCTCTACGGGCTAGTATCCGTTTGGTATACTTTCTTTCTATTTTTACCTCGCATTTATCTTTTCCCATAGATCATATGAAGTGTGATAGAATCAGGTTTAGGCTAGTCTCCCTATAACGTTTCTTTCCCTTTTCGCATATGCGTTTATAATAACAAAAATTTCTTTTTTTTACAAAACTTCAAAAATACAAAAAAAGGGAAATTTACTGATAAGAACCATGTCTTGGCTAAGTTTTAGAGATGATAAGCGGGTTTCTTCTCGACCTTATTATTCTCTTGTTCTAAGCTTTGGTATGGTTCAAGTCTCAAAGACTCATTTCATGAATAAGTAGAGACATGGCTAAAATCTCTCTCTTGAGATTAACTAGCTACTATCTACAAGCAAAAATACCAACCAATACAAACTCTTTTTGCCTTCGGGCCCTTCCTTTCAAACTCTTTTCAAAAGAGCGTACTAATTCACTTCTGTACTGACGCGTAAATCTCCAAAGGTCGAGTTGCGGCAGAAGGCGAAATTACTATCGTTCATTCAAAAACAAACGAATTCAAAACTTTTTGTGCGTCCAGGCACATTTCTTTCCGAAATTTTCAGAAGAGCATGTTAATTCACTTCTGTGCTGACGCGTAAGTCTCCAACGGTCGAGTTGCGGAAGAAGGCGAAATTAATATTGTTCAGTAAAAAATACAAATAAACAAAAACATATAAGCCGAACTACGGCTGCTCTGATTCCTTAAAAGGGATACGTAGGCATCGGGGTAGGGCCCGAACGAGCACCACAATTTTATTTTCCCTACATTCTTTTCTCCTTATTTCGCATGAATTTTCCCTTTAGTAGTATAATAAACAGTAAGCGTAGACCAAACATACCCATAAGATAGATAATAAGAGTGGGTAGCGTAGAGTACTACGGGCGTGTGGGGTGCTAATACCTTCCCCTCGCGTAACAGACTCCCTTACCCTTATCTCTTGGTCGCTCGACCTCGATTTCACCCTTCTCAGGTTTACTCGATGTTTACCTTTCCCTACATGTGGGATAAAAGACGTTTGATGGCGACTTCATTGTTTTGATGATTTTCAGCCGGTTGTTTCAGCTGGCGACTTCACTGGGGATTAGGTCGACCAAATGTTGGTCCATCCCAGAGTCGCTCCTAGCTCTTGATTTCTTTTCTTAGGGTGTTTTTTTTATGCTTTCAGTTCATTCGTTCATTTTTAAACATACCTGTGCATATGCATGTATTACACTCTACTGCCTTCCATATACTGCTGTTGTACTGTATCTGCTTCTTGCTTTGGTGTGAATGTTACTATTGAGGTAAAAGGCCCAGTACCCAGGCCAGAGTGCACTAGGACACCTAGGAATAGAGAGGGGGCATGACGGCTATAGGACGTGGTCCGATTAGTGCAGTCATGTCATATACCATGCTCGGATGAGGTTCAATTGAAGGTACTTTCATCATGCACGTCTGTGTTGCGATGATTTTACTTTCAGGCAGACCCGTGATTTTTGAGTTACCATTATCTCACCCTGACCTAGTCTTCACACGTGAGCAGGGAGGGATTTATCATTACAGGTACAGTTGGTGACTATATTCATACGATTACTTTTGGTTATGTCCTGCATTTCTGCCAATAGTTATGAGGTTCTCAGATTTATTTTCTGAGGACTTATCTTTGATATTCATGGTCCTCTTCCAGTTACATTTCAGACCTGTAATCTCGGTATTGACAAGGATACGAAGAGGCAGTACAACATAAATCAATATCATGGAAGTAGTAACCCCATGATCACTTGCACACACATCATGGCATATTTACCTTTCGAAAAAAATATATATGTATATATATATATATATATATATATATATATATATATATATATATATATATATATATATATATATATATATATATATATATATATATATATATATGTATCAATAATTAATTCGCATACGCATTGTCATTTCCAGGATCTATCCAGGGTTTCCTTTTCCTCCAAAGAATGGTGAACAACACTGATGTTACCCCAAAGACGAAGAGGGATAATTTCAGCTATCAGTTTCGTCCTAGTACTTGGCCCTCTCTTGAAGAGCTCAGATACCTCATGAATTGTCAACAAATGGGCGTTTTTGGTGAAAGATATGGGAATCTCCTATCTTTGCTGGATGCTCGGGTTAACGACAAGGTTGTACAGACGTTGTTACAATTTTATGATCCAGAGTTGAGATGCTTCACATTCCAAGACTACCAGTTAGCACCTACTCTTGAGGAGTATGCTCATCTTCTCCACATTAAGCTCACCGGCCATGTTCCATTTGTTCAAATCCCTATTGAACCTGATTTTGAGGCTATTGCTAAGGTTCTTTATTTGAGCCTTAACGATGTAAAAAGAAAATGGAGACGCAACAAAGTCACTTCCGGTCTTCCTACAGATTTCTTGGCAAGTAAGGCTAAGGAAATGGCGAATATGGGAAATTGGGATGCTTATTATGCTCTGTTGGCCGCCATTATTTACGGAGTTGTCTTATTTCCTGAGATTAAAGAAATCTTGGACTTGGCTTCTCTGTGCGTCTTCATGAATAAGAATCATATACCTACGCTATTAGCAGATACTTACCACGCCATCCACTCCAGGCATGGAAAGAAAGGAGTAGTGGTATGTTGTATACCAATGCTTTACAAATGGTTCATGGCGCAGTTACCCACCAAAGGGCCATTCAAAGAAGATCCTCGCTCATGGGCATCAAAAGTGATGACACTCATCTCTTTCGACATTCAATGGTACAAACTTAAGGTGGATAGCTCCGAAGTCATCTCCCACTGTGCAGGTTTCTCTAATGTTCCACTCATGGGAACCAGAGGGGTTATCAACTACAATCTGGTACTCTCTCTTCGCCAATTAGGTTATGCCATGATGCGTCCACCCACAACCAAGGAGGTTGAACCTATGTTTCTCAAAAAAGGAGAAGACCCAGAATTGCTAAAAAGGGTGGAGATTGCTTGGGCACATATTGGAAAGAAAGGAAAGGAATTCTTTGGGCCAAAAGAAGCACTAGCTTTCGATCCTTACGTGAATTGGCTAAAGGAATGAGTTAAAACTCTTATGTTACCTTTTGAAAAAGAGATTTCCTTGTATCTTCAACCCACCGAGTTACTGCACGATGTGCCTAAAGAACGCTTCTATCAAGTACAATTGGAAAATAGGGACCTCCGCCAGAACTTGGAAGACAAAAAGATGGAAATCTATTTTCTAACAGAAAAAAAAGGGACTTGGCCCGTCAGCTGAAAGAGTATGAGGGGGAAAGTAGTTCCAATAAATGACCTAGAAATGAAGACTTTTCTGTGTCTACGGAAGAGTATCAGATAGCCCTCACTAACGCAGAAAGGAATCGGCAAGAAACTTTGAAATTTCAGATGGCCAACAATAGGAACAAGGCCAA